CATCCCCCGCCCCAACCGCCCTACCATCGGTGGTCGGGCCTTCAGCCTCTCAGCCCCGAGGCTCTGGAACTCCATCCCCCAGTGCCTTTGCCTGCTCCTCCCTTTCCTCCTTCAAGGCCGGTCTCAAAACCTTTCTCTTTGACCGAGCCTTCAGCTCCCCTCTCGACTCTCTTCCCCCTCCTCGCTCCCTCCCTTCCCTCCCCTTACCCTGACCATTTCCCCCCTCCTCGCTCCCTCCCTTCCCTCCCCTCACCCTGACCATTTCCCCCTCCTCGCTCCCTCCCTTCCCTCCCCTCACCCTGACCATTTCCCCCCTCCTCGCTCCCTCCCTTCCCTCCCCTCACCCTGACCATTTCCCCCCTTGCTCGGGTCATGACCCAACTGTGCAGCGCCTTGGGACATCCTCCTGACGTGAAAGGCGCTTTATAAATGGAATCTTGTTGTTGTTGTTGTTAATGTGGTTTGATCATTGTTGATTGTAGAATATCTCTTAGACAAGATCAGTTAGACTTGTTTTCTTCATTCCTAAACTTAGATCTTTTTAGTCACGTACACCAAGCCTGCAGTGAGACATTCAACAGCGTGTTTTTACCATTCATTGTAGGGTTAAAAACATACCCTTCAAGGTCAGTACACTCCTTTCGAATGCATTGCTTGAAAGGGTGGTGGAAGCCGATTCGATAATAATTTTTAAGATGGAAGTAGATAATTATTTGGGGAGGACAAGTTTGCAGGGCTATGGGGAGAGAGAGTGTGGAGTCCTGTAGCTCAGTGGTTAGAGCACTCACTTTGCAAGTGAGAAACCGGAGTTCAATTTCAGACAGGGCGAAACCTTGGGTAAGTTTCCTTACTCCACACAGAGCCTAATAATAATCCCTCCAAAAAAACAAAACAATAATAAATTGGTCATTTTCAATCCATGACATGGGACATTGCTGTGCGCAATTGGCTGCCGAGTTCGCCCACTAATATACAGTCAATTTACTTTACAGTATATTCTGTGAAATGCTTTGGGACGTCTAGAAGACGTGAAAAGCGCTATATTAAATGCAAGGATTATTATTATTATTGTTGGAGCAGGGGAGTGGGATTGAATTGAATAGCTCTTTTCAAAGAGCCACACAGACAAGATGGGCCGAATGGCCTCCTTCTGTGCTGTATAATTCTATGATTCTATGATTTTATTCTTGGCAGTTTAAATGTACTGATGTTACCAATGTCTTCATGGTACGTAGAATCAGTTCTATTTCAGAAAAACAAGTCCACAAGTCTTTGCGATTTTCTTTGGTCAATTTAAGACCAACCAGAATTCTGGGATTGCGAAATGTCCAGTCCCCACCAGTGGGTCAAACTGACAGTACAGCCCACTATCACCATCAGAATCTTCACAATTCCCTTTTACCTCAGCCACCACATCAATCCTGTCAACTCATTTTAGCATTTGTAATTACAGCACATCATTATCAATAATATAATGATTGACACAAACAGTATGGCCATAGAATTCTTTAATATTATTTCAGTGGATGTTCATTCCCTCTATCCTTGCCTGGAGGTTTTGAGCATGGCTGAAATACTGGAAGTAAATGTTACATAAAATAAATCAAAATAATTACATTCTTAATACTATTACTTCTCCTTCTTGAACTGTCAGTGTTTATTCTACCTATCGAACCCCTCATTTCACGCTCTACCACACCCGACGCATACAAAACACGTGGTTGCCAATGTAGACCCTGTCCTCTGTGCAGGTATTGGCCGCTGTTGTGAAGTAGACGATTGATTGGGTTGTACTTGTCCACTCGTCCCCACCCTAAACAGTCGAGCTGAAATTGAATGTGGGCGGGAGGGGAAGTAAAAAGTATGAGATTGATTGATCCTACACAGTGTTGGGTTTAAAGGTATGGTCAATGGTGGAGTTTACCACAGCCTGCTCCATGTCCCCCGCCCGATCCGCCCTACCATCGGTGGCCGGGCTTTCAGGCTCTCTGCCCCCACACTCTGGAACTCCATCCCACAGTCCCTTCGCCTCACTTCCTCCCTTGTCTCCTTCAAGGCCGGTCTCAAGACCCTTCTCTTTGACCGTGCCTTTGGTCTCCCTCCCACCTCTCCGCCTTCCCTCACCCCTACACCACCCCTCCCCCATTGCTCGGGCTCCGACATCTGACTGTTCAGCGCTTTGGGACGTCCTCCCGACATGAAAGGCGCTCTATAAATGTAATTTTTTGTTGTTGCTGCTGCAACCTGGGACAAAGGTGTGGCCAGAAAACAGCAGCTTATTCTGATAACCAACATTTTATATTAGGAACCCTTGAACAGAGGAGCCAAAGTCACTGGTATTTTATATTTCAATAACATAGTTACAATAGGTAGGGTTGCAACTAACAATATTTGCTGTTATACTCACGTATAGCAATGTTACAGAAATGACAATATCACAGTCCATAAATTCATAAGCAGTAGGCAAACATCTCTTGCTTGGGTCATTCGAAGGTACAGTCAGTAATGGAATTAATGATTCTGTTGAGCCTGGAAAGAATGGCCAGTAGTAGGGTTAATTAACACTCTGTTAACCTGATAACAGCAGCCATCAAATCAAAGAACAGTAGGTTTCATCTTTGGAACTGGAATTAATGATAATAGAGGGTGTTGAATCAAAGGAGCAAAGTTGAATCTCAAGCAGTTGTGTTGCCGCACTTCTGTTCTTCCCTTTAGCTTTTTTTTGTTGTTGCTGGAACCTTGGAACAGTCAATGTCGAGTGTCTTGAGTCACAAAACCTCGGGTACAACTTCTACCTTCCTGGAGGAGCAGAAAACATAGTCGTTTTCTCACTAACTCAAACTAAATACTTGGGATGACCGACTCTGACTGAACAAAAGATAGCTAAGTTGCACCTCTTTTATAATTGTCCTTTCTGTTAAACATCAGATTGGTCTGTGCGAATCTGCATGTTCACACCTACCTGAGAGTTATTTACAGGCAGATTTAAACAACCTGGGACAGTGCTTGAGTACGGTACCCATGAACTGATTAGAATTAAAACAACAACTAACAAAGGAGAGCTAAAGCTGTAATAAACACATTTCTTACTTCTGAACCAATTTAATTCTTCAAGGCTCACATACTGTCATTTTTGTGTAACATTTTATGCCAACTACCTCGTAACATACATCACTGTTTGAAGAGACATTACAATATAGCTGACTCTGATTAGGCTTATAGAGTCTACAAATCATTCCAATACGGGCTAACGATTGCATAGGCATTTGAATTTAAACTAAAATAATCTTTTAAGCAATAATACATTTCTGATTCCAACAACAGTGACCTCTCTGATTCAGTAAGTATTATATTTAGCTAAGGTGAAAAACAGTGCTGAAGAGTTCTCGTGTATCTATTGCCAGAAAATCTCAGAGTGGAAATTGTTGTAAAATGTATTACCTCTATTACATTTTCTGACTTTTTTTTGGTCAGCCAGGTGTCTGACATATGTGGAAACCCATCACCACGTTTAAGAGCATTCAAACCAAACAGAGTTCCATGTATCCCGTTTACATGTGGAAATTCCTGTGTATTAGAATAGAGTGTGCACTCTCCCTTGAGGGACGCAACCATCTTACCTCGGTTGGTGCAGCTTGGCAAGTGCCAAGTGCCATTGTGGAGTCCTGTAGCTCAGTGGTTAGAGCACTCGCTTTGCAAGCGAGAGACCTGAGTTCAATTCCAGGCAGAGGGCGAAACCTTGGGCAAGTTTCCTTACTCCACACAGAACCTAATAATAATCCCTCCAAAACCAAAAACAATAATAAATTGGTCATTTTCAATCCACTACTGTTTGTGGGACACTGCTGTATGCAGTTGGCTGCCGCGTTTCGCCCACAAATATACAGTCAATTCACTTTACAGCATATTCTGTGAAGCGCTTTGAGACGTCTAGAAGACATGAAAAGTGCTATATTAAATGCATGGATTATTATAAGACACTACAATTTACAGTACTGTGGAATCCTGTGAAGCATTTTGAGATATCTTCTTGACATGAAGCTGCTACATTAAATATAAGGATTATATTATTACCCCCAGAATGTGTGTTGAGTACTGCTAGTGATTGTGTGTTTTGTGGGTGAACACATAAACCTTAGCGTTTACAAATTATATTATGCAAGTTAGATCCTCACAGTCTCAGCTGACGCTTCAATGCAGTACTACGTTTGTCCTATAAAATACACTTCGCAACACTTTACAGTATATCCTGTTAACTTGTTTGACACATCCTCCCAATGCAAAAGGTGCTAAGTCAAATATAAGGATTATTATTAATGGTATAGATATTTTATTGCACTTCTTTCACAATTAGATGCATTGTCCACAAGGTGGCATGATACACAAGAAAATTTAAACACATATTGGAATTGTTTCTTTGTTTCCAATGTTATTGCACAATACTATTTTGCTCACAAAATACACAGTCAATCCACTTTACAATGTATTCTGTGAAGTGCTTTGAGACGTCTCAATGATGTGATAAGGCGCTATATCAAATGCAAGGAATATTATTATTAGCATCCAATATAGGGGTTAACCTTATAGCCCATGGATTAACATGCGTTTAATTATGTAAGTAACCAACTAAAAGGATCCAAAGGCACTATATCAATGTAAGAATTACTATTAAAGGTATAGATATTAGTTAGGTCCTTATAATCCAGGCTGTGTATAGTGCCTTGTGTCTAGTGCCACCTTGTGGACACTGCATCTAATTGTTAAGAAGTGCAATAAAATATCTATATCATTACCAGTAATCCTTACATTTGATATAATGCCATGCATGTTGGAGTGCTGATTTTGAAAACGCAGGAATTGAGAAATTATACAACAGTCACTTTCTTTGTAAGAGTTTTATTTTAAGCTGAAAGTAGCAAGCTTTTCAGAGCAGGTTAATAATGCTGGTGTATGTGTACTTCTGCAAACATATGACGGATGGTAATGGTTGTGTTTTGCAGAAATCCCACATCAGATGTCAGATCACTAGAAGAACCAAGACTTCTACCTGAGAATGGAAACACACCTCCTATGCAGGATGCTGAAATTTGTTTGCTGAAGTCTGGAGATCTTACGTAAGTGGTATGCCCAGCAGGTTTTCAGAGAACAGGCTTGAAATATAGTTCATTAATACTGTCACAAAACACAAATCTAGTACTTAAAATATAGGGCATTAATACTTTCACAAAATACAAATATTTTCATGCAGGAAAAAACCCTCTGGTTCTGGAACAAGCAATAAACATTTCTAATTAGTGGTACCTTATTTAATTATGCTATTACTAATCATCACTTAAAGGAAAGATTCCTTCCATTAGTTTTATAGTTGGTTCCTGTGTTATTGCTTTGAGGAGATATCCAGCAGAAATCTCACTCTCAGAAATCTTTTTAAAAATGAAATTGTCATAAGGAATGAGGATTGGGACCCCTGATGTGTTAGTGATGAAATAGTATGGGATGTCCTGGGCCCACGTAGACCAGAAAAATCAAGATTTGGATTCCCGATCTTAGTGGAGTTATTTGATGTCAGCCAGTGTGGCAGTGGCACCATTATAATTGGCCTCAATGCTGCCAGGTAGTGAAGGAGGAAAAAACACACCAGGCTTGTTTCACTTTCCGACATGCGTCCAGTGGCCTCTGCTGGTAAGTGCAATGCAACAACAATACAAATTTACATTTATTTTGTGCCTTTCACGCGATGGGGACATCTTGAGGTGCTTGAGGGTGTTGTGGACATTGGCTGAGCGCAGAATTAGCTTCAGCTCTCATGCACCTTCCTTCCCAGTCCAACAAAAGGGTTAAAACAAACTGCAAAATGAACTGTGACAGCCTTTCAGATCCTTTTTTTTTAGTAGATGTGCAATTTTAGTTGCAAACTGAAAGACACAATTAACATCATATTTTCAACCCAAATATAACCAAAAATGTTTCGTAGCAATGAAGCATAATTAATTTGGGATGTGTCCATACATAAGCAAGATCCACTAAGGAGGAAACCACACCATGCATAGGCTTTGTCTTTCAGTGTTTATTATGTCCAAAGGAAGGGAATATCATTCGACCACCCAGAAAGTAATGCTCCTGGCTGAATTGTTCAGTACCAGATACTTAATATAGTTTCACTGATAACGTCAGCTAGACCCAGGAATACCTTATCAAAAAATATATGTTTTTAAAATATTATTATTTGCAATCTTTTCTGGTAAACTAATGTGCAATTTTACAATTTGTGCAACAAATATCTTGTTACAGTTCTGATTTGAACTGTATTTGTTATTTTTCTGGAAATAATTTAACAGACACTTGTATTCCATTGAAAAATGGCATTGATTGTTTCTACTGTTTTAGGCTAACAATACCTCATAAGGTGGAGGAGATTGTTCAGTTTGGAGACAGGAATAAAGAGCTCTTTATTAAATCCAGTTGCTATAGTCTCATTCCCATCGTTGTGGAAGAATCTGGTCTCACCATTAACTGGGTGTTTTCTTCCGAACCAAAAAGTATATCGTTCAGCATCGTTTACCAGGAGTCTGCAGATACACCTTATGAACAGTGCAAGGTAGGAATTAATGTCAGTGTTGTTTAATATCAAATAAACTTGTTGGCCTCAAACCTGATCTTTCTGACCTAAGGATTTTATTTTGTTACACAGTTATATTATAAAATGCATATCTCAACTAACGTTTAATACTTCAATTTATCTTCAAAAGTGTTTTTGTTACTAATTTGTGTATTATACCGTGATTTGTTATATATACACTTAAGAATACCAATAGTGGACGATTGCAGCTCCCACATCATTGGTTGCATACAACGCACAAGCACAATAATAATTTTTGAAAGTGATAGTGACAGATGTAGAAACATTCTTGCATCAGAATGGCCAGTTTAAAAAAATTGCAGGTCTTTGAAGTGAAGTTTTCTTCTTCAAATGCTGTCAATAATCCTGTTTCCACCTTTGTGTCCCCTTATAACCAGGATTTCAAAGAATCTGTCGTGACTCATTGTAGAAAGCTGTTCTTTAAGTAAATCAAACGCAGATTGAGTCAGGCCAACATCACCTGACTAAGCTCTCAAAAGTCATTTTCAGTGGCTAAGGATGGAATCCAGTATGGGGAAGCGACATCAAAACATATTTTAACGCTGTTCCGTTAGTATGGGACAGAACACAGTTTCACTCCATTGTGAAGTTGATGTAATTTCAATAAAATACGGAAATGCATAATACAAATGGTATCTTGAGGTGACCAGCACACCATAGACTTTAGCACTCACTGCACGTCTTTCGAAGCTAACAGTTTTTAAAAGCACATTTTGTTTACACTGCAACAGTTTACCACTTCCTTACGTGACAAGCAGCAATCTACCGTAGGCGATCTCACCAAACAACGTGCATCGGTTACAAAGATATCCCTTTAACCTCAAAAACAAGAAACATCATCATTAACAAGATCCTTTGATAATTTTTTTTAACTAGACATTGTTGTCATTGTTTTTTTTTAAATCACAATTTTTAAAATTAATGAAATTCATTATCAGATTTTCATTTACATAGAATTACATAACACCAAAACAGGACATTTGGACAGTATCAATATATTCAGTATACTGCATATAGCCTCCACCCACCTTAATCCCCTCTCACTATTCCCATTCCACACTTCTCGATATTAAACTTCATCTCTCACCTATCTGCCTATTACATTGTCCTGTATCTTTTTGCAATCCTCCTCGTTATTTATTATAACCCCAGATTGGTATCATCCATGAATTGCAACACCAAACCTCATATTTCTGAGTGCAGATCATTCATGTGCATGGTGAACAGTAACGGCACATCCTAATATGGATCCCTGTGGAACACTATTTCTTGACAGCTTGAATAGCCTCCCTTTACTTCTACTTTGTTTTCCAGCCTTCATTCAATCCATTCTTCTGCATCTCGAATGACTCCACATGTCCTGATTTTAACCATGAGCTTCTTAGGTAGCACCTTATCAAAATCCTTATCTACTTTGTTACACCTTTGAAAAAACAGTAAGATTGATTAAGCATGACCTTTCATGAATCCATGCGGCTGTTCTTAATTACACTCTCCTTTTCGGGTTATTTCATTCTGCAGTTATTGAATAGAATTTAGAGCTCTGGGAGATACGTCTCTTATGTTTAGTCTGGTTATATGATTAGTTCAGTTTATTGAATAATTTTTACTATCAAATATTGAGTATTCAATTAACAGAATTAAACAGAATTTAATTGCATCTCTTGGTCCCCTCTTCTTCAATATCTATATGCTCCCTCTTGGTATTGTCATCCGCAGACATGGGGTCAACTTCCACATGTATGTGGATGACACCCAACTCTACCTCTCTGCCTCCACCCTCGACTCCAGGACCACTGCTGTCCTGACAGAATGTCTGTCAGACATCAAGTCCTGGATGAGAGGTAACTTTCTTCAGTTGAACGTCAACAAGACCGAGGCTCTCCTGATTGGCTCCTGTCAGCGCCTTCTCACCTCAAGTGCTGACAGCATCGCCATCCATGGTTGCACACTCCACCTCACTGAGCCAGTGTGGAACCTTGGGGTTTTGTTTGACCCTCAACTATCCTTTCTACTCAACATCCGTGCTATGACCCGCTCTGCCTTCCCCACCTCCGCAACATCGCCCCGACTCCACCACTGCCTCAGACCTCTGAAACCCTCATCCACGCAACTAGGCTTAACTATTCCAACGCCCTGCTTGTCGGCCTTCCCAACTCGTCCCTCCACATCCTCTGCAGCTCGTGTCCTCTCCCGCACCAGTTAATGGCTCCGTGAACCCATTACCCTCACTCTCGCCCGACTCCAAGGGCTCCCCATCCCCTAGGGGATAGAGTTCAAAATCCTTGTCCTCGCCTTCAAGGCCCTCCATGGCTTTGCACCTCCCTACCTCTGCAACCTGCTGACCCCATATCAACCTGTCCACTCCCTCTGCTCAGCAGCCTCTGGCCTGCTCCACATCCCCCACCCAGCCCTCTCCACCCCGTTCCACCCTTTAGTATCTTAAAGACCGCAATCAGTAAGAGAGGAACATGGGGGATTAATCATCACCTAAAGGTCAAAACACGTAGTAAGTAATATCCACTATACATATGCTAAAATCAAATTATTGGTCACCACCATTCTACTCCATTGTCATCAACACTTTTGCTGCTTTATCATAACACGCGCATCATTGGCAATAGTGTCTTTGTTACTCTTAAAAAGTGACAGGACAGCTTTCTGAGCTTCTAAAACTGTGGTAAGAAACGTCAGAGTGGGGTACAGAATTTATTTTCATTTATCCAAGTGCATTCTGTATTTCTTTCATCAGCCCTAAAATGTTTTTTGCTCTTTTATAGGTTTTGATTCCCTTAACACGTTGCAATTCTCACAAGGAGACAATACAAGGACAACTGAAGGCTAGAAATACTGGGATCTATTTGCTGATATTTGACAACTCTTTTTCGAGGTGAGTTATATCAGTTCATCTTTCATTTGCTCAATAAGGAGATATAATTTTTTTAATCCTGAAGAATGCATTATTTAGCAGATGTGATATTTTAGGAATTTGATAATTATACATTTCTTCTTAACAAATCTGTTACGAAATACTGCAAATTAGACTTCACTAGGTCCAGTTTTTCTGTGTATTTGAAAATGTTTTGAAAAGTGTTTGTTTACAAGTCACAGAGCAAATGGTGTTATTGCTGAGACTGATCATTACTTATTTCCTTTAGGTTTACCTCAAAGAAGGTGCTTTACCGCTTAACAGTTGAAAAGCCCATAATCTATGACGGAAGTGACTTTCCGGGACCCTGAAATGTTTCTACATTCGTTTTTTTAAAGAAGAGAAGCACTTATATTTTAAGAATGTTCAACAACTATTTGGGATGGGGGGAAATCTGTATTTTTCAAAGATTTGGAAACTATGCAAACAAAACTTTCATAAAAGATATATGCAATAACCTATCTTTCATGTTACCAAAGCACTAAATAATATACTGTGTTGCAGAACTGTGAGCCTTTCTTTTCAACTGGTGCATAGTTTTTAGTAGATAAAAGCTCTATTTTTAAAAATAATTATTTTACTGATATAGTCCCTTGTACGTTCTATTATTCTAATCAGGGTGCTGGTATAACAAGAGTTCCCTGCTAAGGCAAGCACTTTATTCGCTTGAATTTTACCACTGCTGTCAGTTGCATGCATTGCACAGTTATAAATGAATGTTATGTATTTATAACATAAAACTCATAACTAAACAAATCAATAGCACACCATCTTTGCTCCCTGTAATTTGTTGATGTGCAGCAAACCAGGGGAACTTATAATCAATTAAATAGGTTATCTCATTAAGATAGTGTGACACTAAAGCAGGCAGTAAAATGAGGAAAAGCTTTTTCAGTATTTAATGGCTCACAGACATTTTGACATAGGATAGATTTTAAAGATATATTTTGAAAATAGTTTTTATCACTGGAGCTATATACAGTATAACAGCTTTGAAGTGAAAATACATTTTAATCGTAATGAAACTGATTTGGCATGGTTTATATTTTTAGATGTTACAAATGATTTTGGCAATAACCAATTTATTAAACTCACATTATAAGATGGACAGTTCCACCAGTTATTGAATCAAATACCTGTTACATCTGAAGGAAACAATTACTAAAAGAAAAACTGAATACAGGAAATAGAAAATTAAAAACAAAACCTGCTGGAAATACATAACAGATGAATCGGCATCAGAATGAAAAATATTCTCTGACAAAATATCATCCATTTTCTTGTTAAAATAATTTTATAAAAGTTATTTAAGGTCCACAAACAGTGCTCGTCTCAGATCCCTAATTCCATTTCCTGCATGGAGCCGTGTTTGAAGATCACGAACTGAAAACTGTAATTTCTTATTACTGGAAAAGAACTCCTGAAATAATGTAATTTCTGCTGTCTCTTTTTCCCATAGTAATTATCACATTTCTCTCTCCGCTCGCTTTCTTTCATATTCACACACAAACACACACAATCGAAAAAAATTGCAGAGTCTGCATTTAATACGAGGATTCTCCAAGGTTGCATAAATATTGAATCCCACCAGTAACAGGGTGTACAGCATGCCACTTCCGTGCACTTCGCTCAGAAGGGGATTCCAGTAGCTAACAATTCCAGCACTCAAAGAAACAATGATTTTGTTCACATGTGCATAAAGAGAAGTTCAGATGAATTAGGCCTCTTTACTCATTTGATCTCATCCTTCCAGAGTACAAAACCTATTGCTAGGCCAAGCCGTTTCTTCAATGCCCTGGTCCCTTGCTAATGTTCCTGGTAACCTAACTACAATTGTTGATTCCTCTCAGTAAAGAAATGATTCCTAATGTTTGTCCAAAAATTGTCTTGCACAGCCTTGAACCTGTGCCCTCTTGTCCTGCTGTCTTGCCGTGCTGGAAGGTATTGTTCTGGGTTTGCATTCTCTGTCCCATTTAAAATCTTTATATGTACCTTTAAATTGCCTCCACCGGAAAGGATTATTTTCCAGACTGACAACCACCTTATCTAGTCGTTCATCACAGTTCACACCCTCTAATCCTTGAATTAGCCTCAATGCTATTCTGGGAATCTGTACTCAATTAGTTTTTCAATGTACAGAGGGGTAATGATTTTAACAATGATTACTGAATATCAGTGATTCAACATTTGTTAACTCTATAAATTCTCCATGTTATTTCTCCTCTATACTGACCTTCCTAAGTTATGCCCAAGTGTGGAAGATAATAAGCATATTGACCAACAATGAATCCACTCACATTAGGATAAAATTGTTAGATCTGAGACGAGTACCTTCAGGTCCGAAACACTGATTGTCCAGCGCCTTGAGACATCCTCACGTCGTGAAAGGCGCTATAGAAATGTAATTTTGATGGTGGTATTTATTTTACTAAAAGAGAAAAGTATAAACAAACCAATGCAGGGGGCACACATGGTATTTTAATGATAACACTATCTGCAGTTATTTGGCGGTTATAATTAAAGTAATTTATTTCTGCTTGAATTTGAAAAATCAATGCCAAAGAATTTTCAAGTTTAATTTCTGAATTAAAACTGACATTTTTTTTCTTGAACTTATTATTTTAAGATGGTGTGTGGAATTCTTTGCTTGAAGATAAATGATGTTGATGTGGTGTTATGTGAAAAGCTAGGTTTTATTTGCTCCAGCAATAAATAAAGGTTGTATTTTAAAACTGTATTTGTGACATTTTTTTGTTTTTTAAAAAAAAGTCTTTGTACTGACACAGATTCCAAAGGATCAGGAGCTGTTTGAGAGTGCAATAATGTATTAATACAGAAAGTGCAAACTTACATTTATACAGTGCCTTTCATGTTGGAGGACCTCCCAAGGGCTTAACAGTACTGACTTGGCACTTGAGCTGGGGTATGGGGTGGGGTAAGATGACTGAAGACTCAGTCAAAGAAATAGGTCTTGAACTAGGTGAGGGAAGGAGTGAGTCAGAAAAGCTCTTGGATGGATTTCCAAAGAGTAGGAGCAGATAGGCTGAAAGCCAGACTGCTGATGGAGTAAGGAGAAGGACATGAAGCGGGCCAATGTGTGCTGAACGAAGGGAACGAAAAATTAACAGTTTGTCCAACAACAACAATATCACATTTGTAAAGCGCCTTTCATGTCGGGAGGATGTTCCAAGGTGTGGGACAGATAGTATATCCCAAGGCACTGGACCGCCAAGCTGGGGGTTGGGGAGCATGGAGGGCAGGGGGGGAAGCAGGGAGATTGAAAGCACAGTCAAAGAGAAGAGTCTTGAGATGGGTCTTGAAGGTGGTGAGGGAAGGGGCGAAGCGGAGGGACTACAGGATGGAGTTCCAGAGGGTGGGGGCAGAGTGGCAGAAGGCCCGCCTGCCAATAGTGGGGCGAGCGAGGTGAAAGACGTGAAGCAGGCTGGAACCCCCTGAGCAGAGGGAGCGAGCAGGATCGTAGGGGGTTAGGAGGTTACAGAGATAGGGGGGAGCAAGACCATGGAGGGCTTTGAAGGTGAGGACCAGGATCTTGAACTGTATCCTCTGTGTGATGGGCAGCCAGTGGAGTCGGGCGAGGATGGGGGTGATAGGGGCGCGGAGCCTAGTGCGGGAGAGGACACGGGCTGGAGAGTTCTGGATGATCTGCAGCCTGTGGAGGGAGGAGTTGGGAAGGCCGACAAGCAATGAGTTTGCATAGTCGAGCCTCAGTGTAATGAAAGCGTGTATGAGGGTTTCGGCGAATTGCGGTGTGAGACAGTGATGGAGCCGGGCGACGTTGCAGAGGTGGGGAAGGCAGAGCGGGTCATGGCGCAGATTTAGGGTAGAAAGAATAGTTGAGGGTCAAACAAGACCCCAAGATCCCGGACTGGCTTAGCAAGATGGAGTGTGCAACCATGGATGGTGATGCTGTCAGTGCCTGAGGTGAGGAGGCGCTGACGGGATCCAATCAGGAGAGCCTCGGTCTTGTTGACGATCAACTGAAGAAAGTTAGCTCTCATCCAGGACTTGGTGTCTGACAGACAGGTCACGGGGGTGATCGCGGATGTGGGTGGCGGAGCTGATATGGAGGGAGAGGTTGAGGGAGGAGATAAGGGAGGAAAAGTCAGCAGAGGTAGAGCAGATAAAGGGTGATAAAGGTTATGGTGCTCAAAGGAAGGGAAGATTCCAGAGGAGTAAGGGAATAGGCCGAGTGGGAAATGAGAACCACACTGCCACCACGGCAGATAGGTCATGGGATATGATGGAAGGTGTAGCCGGGTGGTGTGGCCTCAGTCTGGGTGAAGGTGTCGCCTGGAATGATCCATGTTTCAGTGAGGGCGAGAATGTCGATGTTTTCGTCAACAATTAGGTCTTGGTTGGTGAGTGTTTTATTGGAGAGGGAGCAGACATCTTGAAGGCTGATGCGGAGGGGACAGTTAGTGGCAGAATGTGTGTGGCGAGGCGGGGGAGGTGGAGGAGTGATAGGGAGGGTGGGGATGTAGACGAGAGAGAAGAGTTTGGCCCCTGGGGTCAGGGACCGATGGGCCTTGTGGCGAGAATGGGGAATAGGACAGTCAGAGTGGCTGCTGTTGGACAGGATCTAAAATCCAGTATTTGTTCCCAGAAACAGGCTGTCTGATCTTATTTCAGCGATACTCATTTAGCTCAATCAAATCAGACCATGAGAAACTATTTGTTGTGCTGAAAAATAAGATGAAAGATTGTGCGCACCCAGTGATTTTCAGCTTGGTGTGAGTGCTACTGCTGTTCAGAAGTCAGGGTTACTTGAAATGGATTTAATCTCCCTTAAATACGAAATGCGTGGGGAAAGATTCCACCTGGATTTACCTTTATTTATGTAGCATTTCAGAGCATCCAGAATCTGTTAAATTGTTCAATTCAGTCTTAACACTTGACGGTTGTGAGGGATGGTGTAAGATGGGAGTTAGAGTAGCAAGAGGGGAATAAAGGTTAAAACAAGAATTAAAGTTATAAGGTTGTAAAGCAAACTTGAAATAAAAAAAACACAACTGATCATGAGGTGAATCAAGGTTTGCGACGATGGGCTCCAGATGTTGTCATCTGAGGATTAGATGCTCTTCTTGGAGTTTGTTATGTTTATAATAACAATAATAATAATCCTTGCATTTGATATAGCGCTTTTCACGTCGGGAGGACGTCCCAAAGCGCTTCACAGAACACACTGTAAAGTGAATTGACTGTATAGTTGTGGGTGAACGCGGCAGCCACTTGCGCACAGCAATGTCCCACAAACAGTAATAGTTTGAAAATGACCAATTTATTATTGTTTTTGGTTTTGGAGGGATTATTATTAGGTGTGTGGAGTAAGGAAACTTGCCCAAGGTTTCGCCCTCTGCCTGGAATTGAACTCAGGTCTCTCGCTTGCAAAGCGAGTGCTCTAACCACTGAGCTACAGGATTCCTGGGAATTATTGGGCCTTATACCAGCATAAGGTTTGATGGATGCAACAGGTTGGTACCTCAATGTCTGGGAAACCATAAACTCAGAGATTATATAACTTTAACGTGTCAAAGAAGGGAAGATTAAGTGTCTGATGAACTTTTGACAGTTGATACCAGGGGTCTCAAGGGGTATGAGGGAATGATTGGATGAACCAGTCACATGGAATAAATTGAGGTGTAAGGGAGGGGCGGTTGAGCTAAATTCTGGGAAGTGAGTGAGGGTCGGAGATGAATCTAAACACGACTAACAGCACTAACACCACTCAGATTCTGAAACCTTCCCAGAAGAGGTAAAACTTGGTGAAATCATCTCTTCTGCATTTTCCAAGAGGTCATGGTATGTTGAGGCTCAGTAGGTTTTAGAGTATAAGTTTGCATGATTTATTAAAGTTTGGTTAAACTTGATACTATTGAAAAGTATTTTTAAAGTATTGCCTATGTGCTATATTTTGGGGTTTTACGCTACTTTGCCGGATTCGGGAAAGCTATTGTTTACTGGTAATTGTCGGAATAAATGAGAATGATTCAAGTTAAATAAAGTGTTGCGAGATCACTGTTGTGACCCAGACTTTCTAAGTCTTTTCCAAACGAATCATGGTACGAGGATGAATGCAGGACCAGAGAAGCCTGAAATTTTAAGAAAAGAAGATGGCTCATTACAGATATCATTAGGCAGTGGTCACTGCAGGTCAATAACAACCCAGTCACCCTTTATGATGTTGGGATCACAATATAACCAACTTAAGAAACCTCTATTCTAATTTGGACACCATAAGATTAAGTATAAGATGCGCAGTTTAGCATATCTAATAAAGGTGCCTAGATTTGTGTTATTAATCTCTAAATTAAGAAATTATGAGTTTAGATTATGCAGAACAGGAGAGTCAATTCGGAAACAAATTATGGAAGCAATTAAACAGTTAGGGTGGGGAAATGTACATTGGGGACAAATTGAAGATGGAATTAGTAAAGTGACGGGGCGGGGTGTAGGAATATTTGGGGAAATTGGTTAACTAGCAGATTTGGGTGGGTTAAATGGATCCTGATTGCTGGGGGAACAATTATACTGTTACAACTGATTGGGCAGATAAGATTACCAGGCAGATGTTAAAGGAATATGTAACTGCTGAATATTGTCTTTAGAGGTAAAAGATTAATCCAAATGGATGGAAACAATTCCGGGGTTTTATTGGCATGACTATGGTACTTGCACATATTATACTGTTGATAATTTACCATAAGAATCCTTTGAGACCAAGATCAAGGATCAGAAATTAGCTATACACCTGACAGGAGACTGTCAGCTTTGAAGTGCAGATTCTGGCTGTGACAGCATTGCTCATGTACTTATGCACTATTAAGGTGTGGATACAAAAATATTTTTTGGACATACTCTTGTATGGACTCATGGTGCAATTACTATTAGTGTGTATTTTACGTGTGTGTTTCGCAGCTGTATCTTTCTGGCGACCAAAGCAATCAACTCTCGTATTGTTACGGTTTGGGATTCTATTTTTGTGTATTGCAACCATGTCCTCAGCAGCTACTGTAGCTGTAAATATCATCACCACAAACAACAATCATACTAATTCTTCTGTAATTTCCAAAGGAAGCAATTTCAAAGATACTGGATATATATTTATTTGTTAAACAGTTCTCTGTTTTTTGTAATGCAGGAGCAACAAGGGGCAGATAGTGACAAAAAGCTACACAGAAGGATAAGTGAAAGAGGGCAAGAATTTAATAATGTAATATTTCACCACCTAATATATACTTGCTCTCATTCTTTCTCCCAAAATATATAACCTCACATTCGTCTGCATTAAAGCTTATTTGCCATTTCTCTGCCTGATCAACCAACCTGTCTGTGTCCCTCTGAAGTTTCTTACAATTTTTTTCATTGTTAACTACGCTCCCTATATTTGTATCATCTGCAAATTTAGAAATTGTGCCCATTATATCAGAATACAGTTTATTGATATAAATGGAGAAAAGCAGTGATCCTAAAATTGACCCTTAGAGGACAGTATTATTTATTATCTCAGTATTATCTCTCCATTGCCAATAACAACTCTGCACTCGTGCCCTCTCCTTCCTATTCCTTAACCAACTTTCTATCAATGTGCCATTGTATCCATGCTGCTATCTTTCCACTAATACAATGCACCTTCATTTCTTTAACAAGCCTCCTATGCGGCACCTTATCAAAAACTTCTGAATATCCATATTTACCAAACCTACCCCCATTGCAT